GCAATTGAATTACTAGCTTCAGAGGCAACCAGAGATGTATGTAAATCCAGACTAAATTTAGAATTTAATTCAATTACGTGTCTAACAATTTCAACATTAATAAATATTTATACATAATTTAAAATTCGTGGCTAATAACGGTGAAGAGATAGCTCGCTGATCGCTGACAGACGGACGGACGATCAGAGGAAGCGAAGTTACTCGTATAAGGTTTGGTTATAATTTTGGATAACATTTTTCTGTACAGATTTTTTTCGCTTTTTTATCTGAGTACACTTGCACAAACAATAATATTGTTCTTGAAGAATATTATTTTTGAATTTGAATTCAGAAATGCTAGCACATCACAAGGTTATTCGTAACTATGACAGCAGTTTGAGCAGTATCCCTAGCACGAACCAATATCATATTCGTATCGTTTGCGAGTCCGAAATGTCATTGTCAAATGTGTACTGATTTTTAGTTCTCGTTACGTCCGTCGCGTCGCTACAGTAAAGTTACCATACAAAATTTGACAGTGACATTACGCACTCGCAAACTATTCGAATTTTATGCTCTATATGGAATGAGAAAAAGAGACTGCTAAAATTCACCAATGGCGAATACGTATAGCCACCGAACCGTGATCTAACTGCCCGCAACTAGCAAATAAGAATTTAGGCTATTTGCAAATGAAGTGATTGCGCGGAGAACGCAAGCTCGGTTGTCGCACGTGTGTCACAAGGTCACGTGTTTTGTCGCGTAATATGTATCAGGGTATATTCATCCTTTATTATCGTTCACACCAAATGTGGAACAAGTATATGCCACATTCTACGGCTGCCGGTGACTCAATAGACTCTTTTATTCCGCTCACGTAAGCTTCAGGAAAATATTGGACAACATTTTATGAAATTCCTCCATCCAGGTATTCGTGTACCAATTAATTTACATTTTATCTGGGTTTATTACTTCTAATAAAGTATCTAATGATTTAGAAAACTCATTACAAATTATTATTAGAATTTATAGTAAATAGATGGAGTGAATTTTAACGATGTTAATGTAATAAATGCTAAAGAATTCAAGGAAAATAAGGTTAATTAAGCAATAAACAATGTTTATCTGTGCTTATTCTATCTCGCTACCTTAATTTTATTGCCTTTCAAATATATTGTACCTGAAATAAATTTGTTTAGTCCTAAATCAACTCGAAATTTATATTGATGCTTATTCTATAAGTAAATAAAGGTGGTTAATTGTGCTTTCAGTGAGCCTGAAATGAAAGTTAGCATTAAATTTAGTTTTAAGGTACTATCATTAACACATCAAAAATTCATTGTTTTTAATAAACTGCTTGCACTAGAATTTCCCAAATTTCATTTCATTAGAAATTTTAAATCGGCGTCTATTCATTCATTGTTTCTATTCAGTGAATAAGTTGCTGATAAAATGTAATTAAAATGATAATTAAGAAACTTATATAAAAAGTTACACTCATTTGCATTTTAAACAGAACTAAAGACGAAGTAAGAGTGCGATCAAATGTAGCGTTCAACCTTGAGGTCTAATTTAAAAGAGTTCAAAAAGACACTCAACTCACAGGTGACTGAACGAGATAATTGTAAAAGTTTCAATTAAGTATTCTGCTTATATTTAAATGGCAGCCATTGAATGTAAAGTTAATAAACTTTCAAGCCTTCAGCCAGTTGCGGGGTTTCTGTCAACCCGCGGAGTAGGGGGCTGGGGTCAATGAAGGCTTCGCGTTTGATTCTCTATGATAATATAGGTACTAATTAAAAAGTTTATTAAATGTGTGTTGTGGTGGTGTCGTATGAGGCGGGTCGTTACGGTCCTAACATATGGTTGAACGAAGCGATGGCTGGTTCATGCGTCATGCTCGTGAACGGGTGCTGCCAGCGGAGATAGGTCTGCCCTAAGTACTTTGTTGTAAGATGTAAATGCCTACTTACACCTAATATAAATAACACTGTTTGTGTTTATACTGTATGACACAGCAACAATTAATGTATAATTTCAGATTATGTAATGAAAGGTGACTTCATGAATAATCTCTGAAGTCATTTTTCAACTTGACGACTCTTAAAATAATAAAACAGGGAGGAAAAAGCAGCCCTTGCTGAGTTTCTTCCCGGTTCTTCTTAGTACAAGGTCTCCCGCCGTAGATTTACGAACTGATGGCGAAGCTTTTAGACATTCATGAGTGCTTGTAACAGCCTAAACTAAATAAATGATTTTGATTATGATTGTAATAAACGTGTGTTGTAGGTTACCAACAATGATTGAAGAGATGGCGCTGCTTTGCAACCTAAGAAAACCGGTTTTTTCAAGGTTAAGGTAGAGCATAATCTAATTAAAACGCTCCTAATGTACTTGACACTGATTTAGGTTTGAAAATTAACCGGTAAACAAGCCCTGATATATGGTTGAAAATCTGATGCCTAGATGCCATGCCTAATAATAATCGTTACCTATCGATACGACTGACAGACTCCTTGACTTTTTGTAAAAATAAGCAAAATAATATTTCTCACGATTTGTAAAGCTTTCGGCCTTTCATTCCTCGCACATAGAAAAATGTCTCGAGGTGCGTAGGCCTCAAAAAATCTCAGCAGTAATTTGTAGGGCTGGAATATTCAATTTAATATTCGAAAATAATAATAATCGTTACCTATCGATACGACTGACAGACTCCTTTACAAAAATAAGCAAAATAATATTTCTCACCATTTGTAAAGCTTTCGGCCTTTCATTCCTCGTACAAAGAAAAACGTCTCGAGGTTGTTATGTCCGCGTAGGCCTCAAAAAATATCAGCAGTAATTTGGAGGGCTGTTGTCTCAATACACTCCCCTATAGGGCAACTTGATAGCGATAAAGAATTCTCGTATTTTTATCTAACGGATTGTTTTTAATTTTTTTTAATATTTTTGTATGAGAAATTAATCACCTGGAGCTTAAAGGTCACATTTATTTAATCGTAAAAAAAAGTTTGGTCCGAAATAACGGATATGATATTTAAAAAAACGACGGGTTGCACTCCGGGAGTGCCAGCAGAAGTGAAAACTTGAATAATAACGTTGTGCATTTTTGATATTTTGGAATGGTTAGGGAATACTTTTGCACGAATTGCTTTAATTATCGTATAAAAGTACTATCATTTATGTGGTAGAATACAATATTTATTTATTGCGCTATCGTACACAAACATGACAATTTATATTACATTAAAAAGTTTATCTCTCAGAATTATTCATTTAAGCGAACCTAGCGAGATCTATTGTAAAAAATTCTTCACAATAAAGCTGCCATCTGCCACCTCCTAGATACAGACTTATTATTATATTACGATAAAATAAAATATTACTATGATTCGTCCAATATATTGAAAGACAACCACCTTTCCAATTTTATTGTGTGTCATGATGCGATCAGCCCACGTGTTTAACCTGACGCGAGTTTAACATTTTTTACCCAAACAAAAAAGTGTACAACGCCCCTAAAGAAGTTTTCACTTCAAAAACATTGTTCGCTAGAATTAATTGCCTGTAACTATAAACACGAAATGGAAAGGAGCCAAAATACGGCTCTCGCTATTCTCGAAAATAATTAAAGCTAAACAAACCGCTATTGGTTTTGATAACACGTGTCACGTGTCATCAAATCTAAGGAATTATTCTCCCTTATTCCTCGATCACCTTTTCTTCAGAGGACTACGCGCGCTGGCCTTCGTTATCACTGACTTACTGTGGCCACTATTCCTATACGAACAAAAAAAAATTGGTGACTCATTTCTTTGTTGTAGTATTCGTAAGTGGAATTCTTTACCCGCGCACGTGTTCCCTCCTTCCTATAATCTGGGGTCCTTTAAGAGCGGCGTGAAGAAGCATTTTTGCAGGCCGGCAAGGTGAGGATGGTTGGTGTAGCAGTTTATAACTGCTGTACCAGCTATCTTCGCGTTTGGACTTAACATCAGGTAGAGTCATTTGCCTACCTCGCTATAAAAAAAAAGTTACTGAAATGGCGTGAGAATTCCTGTAAACGTAAAACGTCTATTTATGCGTAACAAAAAGGACGCTTTGTTCTGACTCGGAACAAAGCTTAAAACTTCTAATCTAATAATAGATTGGCGGTTATGTCCTCGGTGCTGTTATTTAGATCATCATTAGCCTATTAATGTCCCCACTGCTGGGACACACAACTTCCGTATGGATGGAATGGAGAGATTTAGGCATGGTCCACCACGCAGGCCCAGTGCGGATTGAGGGGTGCTGACAAAATGCAGTCAGGCCTAACTACTGTTAGATAAAACTCGGTTTACTTTTGAAATTAACTTTATTCAATAGACAGATCCACGTCACAAGGTTAAAATACACAGAATGCGACGCGCTCGCTCATACGCGGGGGATTCCCCTTCAAATCTGACGGATTGACAAAAATTTTCATTTTGACAACTAGTGCTGCCGAACTTAGAGCTAAACAATAAGGACGTTGCTTATCGATTAAAGTTCGGTTATTTCGTCTATCACTACTTAACGTGTCTTCTGAAAGAGTTAGAGATAATAAAATTTTGGTGACCCATCCGACATTGTGAAAGTTGCCTAACTTCCACGTGCGTGCGTGTGTGCGTCGATAAAAAGTTTCTAAATAATGTTTTGAAATAATGTATTAATCTTGAAAATATTTTGGCTTTGACCTTCAATATCTCCATAACCATAAATTTCCCAGGTATGATCAGAAAGAAAAAAAATATCGTCATGATGTGGAAAATACCCGGCCTTCGACTTCGTTATAGGTTTTTTACACCCTGTTTAAGTATACATATATATATATATATATATATATATATATATATATATATATATATATATATATATTGTCGCGTGTGACGTTCGTGACGCATTTTCGTTTCATCGTTTCCATAGGATTTCTCCATTTACAAAAAAAGGTTCCCATCAAAAGTTGAAAGTTGAATTATTAAAACGAACCATTCTTCCCAAAGGTGCTGGTGACCAAGCCTGACTTCTACAACGAGGAGACCCGAAAGAACTTGTTCTGCACCCTCTCCGAGCTGATTTCGCTGAACATTGTCCCGATTGTGAACACCAACGACGCTGTCAGCCCGCCAATGTACATCCACGACGACTCGGTGGTGCCGGGCACGGGGAAGAAGGTGAGAGAATACTAATTAATGCCTTGATCACACGTACCGAATGAACGGGCGAGACAGTAAAATGTTTCTCGGCCGACACAGTGATGGTAGTTAAAAACTCATGTAAGAGCGCTCGGTCGAGCACTCGGCGCTATGTTTATACGTACTGTAACGCCCTTTGCGTTACAGCCTCTTTGCTTGTGTAAACTCTTTGCTTATGTAATACATACGGCTGGCAGTTATATTAAAAAGTTAATGTCATTATTTTAAAGATTTGAAATTGGGAATCTTTTGTCTTTTATGGAAGATTACAGCAGATAAAATTCAGGCACAAGAACGAGTAGTTGGCTATTAATTAAGAATCATCGTATTCGCTCTGAGTTCAAATAAACCAAGTTAAAAGTCTTAATCGTTATTATTGACTACCATTTGAGTTTTACCTCCCAGGGCTTCCCTTCAGGTTAAGCCCTACAGTACCGAGTACTCGGCCGAGAGCACTGTCTTGCTCGTTTGCTCGGTATGTGCGATTAAGGCATTAGGCTAAGAACATGGTAAACACAAAAGATTCAGTTGTTGTACCCGTGTTTAAATCGGGGGAGAGAGAAAGTATTACAAATTATAGGCCAATATCTTTGCTGCCTACTATAGCTAAGATGCTCGAGAATATAATAAATATACGATTATAAATTATTTAGAAAAAAATGAGATAATTTCGAACAATCAATTAGTGTTTAGAAATAAAAAATCAACTGCAGAAAACAAAAAGCTATACCTATGTGTCGTTGTCGGCGTTTGTGGCTGTGGCGTGTAGCCCGTGTGCGGCGACACTAAGCGACTGATCTCGCATTGTTAGTTTAAGTTATTATCTAGTTATTAAGTTACCTTTTTGTTCCTTATTTAAATTTAAAACTACTTAGTTACATTAGGATGTTTTAAATACATTACAATTTATAATAAGTATTGTTAAGAAACAATCTAGGTGTATTATAAGGGCACATTAAATAAATAAAATTGGTAAATAGTGCGTGTGAATCTAATACAGATACTTCTGGTTATTTTTAGTATACTGCATCTTTTAAGTGAACATTTTACTTGTTCTCAACCGAACAAAAATGAAAACTGAATATATACTGAAAAACACTTTAAATAGTCTGAATACACGGCACATTTTTTTTCATACAAAAAACGGCGGACGACGAACTTCCACAGACAAGAGTATAAATATTTCATATGGCAGTTGACTATTAAGTCAATTGATTACAATGGCTAGATAGCTAGCCTGTTCTTTCCTCTACAAATTGATATAAGAATGTAGGTGATAGCAAAAAGAATGACTCTTATATTTTCCATAGAATAAGTGGCGTCGCGAGGGGCCGAAAGTCGGCCGCTTAGCATTTTAACGATTTTTGACAGGGGTCGAAAGTCGGGCGATTAGCAATTTAGAGGACGAGTTATTTGTAAGAGGGGAGGCTGGCAATGTTTTTTCCATACAAACGTTCTCGGCTGATTCCTTCTTCATTTTTATCACTAAAATATAATATTTCTCATTCTATGCTCCTATGTCTTCCTTTTCTCGATAATTTGTGTAAAAGAAACAAGAAGCCTTGAAGAAATGACAAAAATAAACAAAATTTTATCACACGTCTAGTGTGGAGATTTAATAAGCATTTACGAAAAAAAACAAAAGATAGGCAGCAGAAGGCATAGTAGAACTATTTATTATTCTATGTGTTTTTTTTTACATATATCTAATTTTAGAGAAGGAAATTGTCGAGAGCCAAACCTCTAATTTTACAATTTTTATACGCAATTTTCAGCGTTAACTACTGTTGTAGTTTTTTCAAATACCTATTTCTCAATTGTCCCTCAGCTCGCGTCCGCTCTTAACAGGTAAATTTTTTGTTTAAATTCCCTTTCAAAATGTTTTAAACGGACTTGAAGAGGTGCTGCGTTCGGGCAGGCCATATAAAATATTCTTCATCAAATATTTTGCTTTGTGTGTTTCATGTAAATAAGTTTCGTAGCCGTACCGTCCGATTACCATAGGATCAATTTCGAACAATGTTGGCACAACTGCCGCGCTGTAGCTTACACCTTCCGATCCAATCCAATGTGATCCTAATTATCGGATTAAATCAGATAGTGTATTTTGCAACAGATCCTAATTTTATTATTATTATTACCAAATCAGAAAATCGTCCTTTCTAAATCCGATAAAACGTAATACTTCTATCGCACCAGCATCGAATGCAGACGTCTTACGCCTTACCTTAAAATGTCATCGGACGAAGGAAGTCAGACCGTCAACTTTTGGAGTGCTATAGAGAATGTAGGTGTTTATGGGATATAGCGGAAGCTGATTACTTAAGTCTTTCATAAGACTTATTTTTCAAATCTCTGTTTGAAAAATAAGTCTTTCGTCAGAGACTTATGAAAATTTTATAAAAAGGTTGTAAAATGTCTTTCTATTCGAAAAAAAGAAGCACAAATCAGCGAGTGTGTAGAGAAAGCCTCAGATTTAGGATTTCAAATATGAAATCCTAAATCTAAATCGACTAATAAGTCGGATAGGATCGGAAGGTGTATAGCTACTTTTAGTGGACTTTGTACCAATTTCGATACGCGACGCGACGCATAGCAAAGTATTTTTTTAAGCTATTGTATAGCTTTTATCGCGGGCTTTGAGCGCGGCGACCGAATCAAAAAAATCTGTAACGAAAAAACCTTACGAGAGTGCATATACCAATAGAACATCATTTTCACCAATCTAATATAAATCTAAACGGGACTAACGTTCGACGCATCACTGCGGTCGTCGGTTCAAATCCCGCACTCGTATTTTTAATTTTTAATTATTATTTTTTTCCTTTTTTTTATATATTTGTTTTAGGCCCCAGCGCCTGTTCTTATTTTATTTGTCTCCCTTTTATTTAGACTTCATAATTGTAAACTGTGGAGCTTGTGGAAGATTTTTAGCGCCGGGTAATGCTGTTGTTTGCTGTGCTTGCCCAATAAAATATAATGAGGCCTGCCTCGCCATCGTCGGAAAAGTCGAGTGTCAGCAAGGACTGGATATGCCCGAACTGCCAGAAGGTGACAACACGCATACGCCTGTGAATGGTATCAGCGAATCATCCGAGCCTGAAAAAACCGGTTGCTGTACGGGAACCTGTGGACCTGGCCAGTGGCTCTCCAAAGGAAGATGAGGTCCAGGGTAAGGCCAAGGAGAACGCCGCCAAAAATAATCACACCAGTGATATAAAAAGTATGCTGGCCGACTGCACGAAGGATACGAGGGAATTCCGCTCAGAGATGGCGGCCTTCCGCAGTTCTTTTACCACTCGACTTGACTCCTTCGAGTAGAAAGTTACGTTGTTGGAGCAGCGTCAAGGGGATCCTGATGCAACTGGTAGGATGGACTTAGAGTGCACCATATCCGAGCTGCGCGCCGAGGTTAACGACCGCGATCGCGGGTTGCCCGAAGAGAGGGGCATCAGCGTGGAGCATGCTGGCCGTGCGGCTGGGAGTGACTCTCGACAGGTGGGACTTGGTGTTCGCGAAGCATGTGGGCGCGCCGCCCGCCGAGGCGCGGGGCCGGCCGCACCGTGTGGTGGTGCGCCTGGGGTGATGTGCCAGCTGCGCGACGACCTCGTACAGAAAGCCTTTGAAAATTACCGCCACAGCGTTCCTTGCGATTTGAATTTGAACTTTTAGTCATTCTAATACAGCCAAGTTAGCAATGATGGTCGGCGGGATTTCAAACGAGTCAAAAACAGGTGCCGGCACGCGCCTTTGTGTAGTGATACGACTGTAGTCCAATATAATCTTTAATTATCTGTTTTAAGACTGATTTCACGTTGAAATAAAAGTACTTGTGTAGAGTAGGTAAAGACGCAACTTGTGGTGGCGCTGGCTTTGCTACCGCGCGCCCGGTGCGGCAGCATCGGCCGAAAGGCCATCAGGGTCTTTAAGTGCGCCGCCCCGCCGGTTCCGAGAGCGACGACGCACGCATCTTTAGAGGTGTCGTATTAGAAGTAGAGGGCGCTCGGCGCCCGGCGCCTGTGTGCACCGTACACCCTGCACTATAGGTACAGCCGCCTCTAACGCCCTGTATATAAAGTTTAGAGTTGAAATAGAGTGGGTACCTATGACATACCTCCCTTTTATCTTTTGAAACAGAAGTTAATTAATATGACTTAGGCGAACACTCGAAGAGTGATCGTAAAACTGGCTAAGACTTTATAACAAGACCGTCTTGTAATGGCCATTAATTATTATTGTTTCCGCCAACCTTTGAAGAATTACACGCAATTTCGATAAAACATTTAGAATCGGTACTAGCGGCCGCCCGGAACTTCTTCCGCTTTAGCTTAAGTTTTTTGAGAATAGCTCAGGAACTCAACAACAACAACCGAGATAAAAAGTATCATTTGTGTTATTCCTGTTAGTACTTAAACTATATTCATCCAAATCCATTCAGTAGTTTTTTGGGTGTAATAATAACAAACATCTATTTAAGCTTTCGCACTTATTATATTAATACGTGCGCATTCCTAATGCTTATTAGGGTAGCTACACACATAAGTGGGCCCGGCCGTAATCAGCACAACAGGGTGCTAAAATCGAATATGTTTAGATAATTGTTCGGCAGTAATTACTACGGGTCGGCTTTGTTGTTCGACAAATACTGCGGAACCGACAATGCCGGCCCGATTATGTGTGTACACTTACAATACTCATGTGGTGGTTTGAATAACTTAATTCTGACTACAGATGCCAATAAAGTTTGCTTCAAACTGTGTGAGAATGCCTATGAGCGTTACATAAATAATGCTTTTTCTGCATGAGTACATTCGTGGTATTTCTAGTGGTATAATTGATCAAGTTTATAATTAAACAGGTAAGGTTTTCAAGTTGTTGTACAGCCAGAATTAATCGAATTACAAAGAAAACGATGAGAATGTTCAAAGTATAACACGTCTCATTATAAGCATTATCTAATTACCAAGCAGTCAGTTCCCCAACCATTTTCTTATTAGGATTAAAGTAAATCAAAATTAATTTGAGAACTCGCTCCGAAGTGAATTTATTTTCAAGATTAGCACATAATTTTCTAATAAGAACTTTGGTTTCATAAGGGGAGCCGCTAACGAGCGCCAGAAGTAAATTACAAAAGCTATTTGGGTTGGTTCCGTGGCTACAATTTGTGTATGAACACATCAACGTATTAGCGAATATATTCCTTGGTTTTAGAAGGTAAAATGAATACAATAGAAATTTATGGAAGAACCTTTCAATTTGTTGCTAATATTTAAGATTACGGTTTGATGAAAAGAAATAAATGTTTAACAGATATTTAATATAACAATTTAGCAACAGTATTTTATATCTGGGTATCATCATATAAAGTATACTTCAATTAGTAGATACCAAAGCCTTGATTGGGAATATCATTTGAAATTCTTGCAGCTGTGCAGTACGTAATAAAACTGTTGTTACGGCCTCCTCCTAATGACTTGTTACCAAATATAATGTATTTCGTTTCGCTCCATGAATGGTCCGAGTTATAAAATCCTCTAATGTTTCTAAATAAGAATAAGAAGTAGATACTGTGTGTAGATTACACACAGTATCTGTCTAATAGGTTTCTTCAATACTTAAACAAGGATTGACGAAGAACCAACATTCATTAGCAACTCTCGCTGCTCTGAAGCACCGTATTATATGAGATATTTTTGTTTTGTTTCTCTAAAGGGCATTGGGATCAAAGACAACGACAGCCTGTCAGCTTTACTCGCCGCCGAGATCCAATCGGATCTGCTCATTATGATGTCAGATGTGGACGGCATTTACAACAAGCCTCCTTGGGAAGACGGAGCTAGAATGATGCACACCTACTCGTCGAAGGAACAAGTCCAGTTCGGACATAAATCTAAGGTACCTATTAATTTTAATAGTCAAGCATTGAACGAATTGCATTTGTAAACATGAATGTGTCAGTGATATAGGTAATTTTAAAAGTTTTATTTAGAATACATTAATTAATAGAAACTATTAAATGTACTTGAACGTTTTAAAAATAACATTTCACTATTTCTTCTACGTTGTAGTGACCCGATAGTGTAGACTATAAATTAATAGGCTTAAATGACAAGTTATATTATCTTACTGATGGTTAAAAAGTCATCGAAAACCGTTGCTCGGAAGGTGGAAGATATACTTAATGACGCGGATAACAACTTTGTATAAGTAGATAGTCGTGATTATTTGCAATCCGATTTTCAGTAACGTGGAAGCTTTGGACTGCTTTAATAATAACGAGCCTACAATGATTCCTGTTTGCTCCAAATTCAATAGAGTTTTACGTATTTGTTTAAATATTAACCTTGTTTCCAGAATATAAACTCCTAATTTTAATTTAGATGTGTGTTCATTTTATCATTGTGAAACATAATTAGTTTAGGATTAATATTTACGGTGACTAACTAAGCTCGTTGTTTCTAATTTGCATATCAAAAATGCTTTGGCAAATTTATTTCGGTTCCTCAACACGTGTTCTGTGTTCATAATGAAATTATATTCGTAGGAGACACAGAAATTCAGATAATTCGTTTATATCATAATTAGCATTGTACACAATTTGGGTATTAGACGTGACTATAATGGTGTATTGCTGATACATATTATAAAATATTACTAGAAAAGTTATTAGAATAATATTAATAAATATAAAATACAAAGTTAATGGTAGTTAATTATTCTAATATTCCTTTGTTGGCATAGCAGCATAATCCAGTTTTTCCTTCAAGGTCGGTACTGGAGGAATGGATTCAAAAGTAAATGCTGCTACTTGGGCAATGGCCAGAGGAGTCAGCGTCGTGATTTGCAACGGTATGCAGGAAAAAGCTATCAAAACCATCATCAGTGGAAGAAAAGTTGGCACGTTCTTCACCGATTGTCCATCTAACTCTTCAAATTCAGTAGACGTAATGGCCGAGAATGGTAATAATACTGTCTTTTTAATAAAAGTTATATACATTGTGTTTTGTTTGATTGCCAAATTAATAATAACATTATTCGTTTTAGCTAGAACTGGTAGCAGGGTACTTCAACAGCTCTCACCAGTAGATAGAGCATCAGCAATACATACCTTAGCAGAATTACTAGTTGATAAACAAGACAAAATACTTGAGGCAAATAATAAAGATTTAGAAGAAGCTACCAAAGGTGGAGTTGCTAAACCATTGCTTGACAGGCTTTCGTTGAGCTCTGGAAAACTGAAAACTTTATCAATAGGATTAAAACAAATTGCAGATTCTAGTTATGATAATGTTGGTAGAGTATTGAGAAAAACAAAACTGGCTGAAAACTTAGTGCTTCGGCAAGTTACTGTCCCTATTGGTGTACTGTTGGTTATTTTTGAGTCTAGACCGGATTCATTGCCACAAGTAGCTGCTTTAGCTATGGCATCAGCGAACGGCCTTCTTCTTAAAGGCGGTAAAGAAGCAGCATACTCGAATAAAGCTTTAATGGAACTAGTAAAGGAATCTCTTGCTTCTGTTGGCGCAGAAGAGGCTATCTCCCTAGTTTCAACTAGGGAAGAAATAAGTGACTTGTTATCAATGGAAAAACATATAGACTTAATCATTCCTCGAGGATCTTCCGAACTGGTACGGAATATCCAGAAACAATCCCAACATATTCCGGTACTTGGTCATGCTGAAGGTATTTGCCATGTGTATTTAGACAAAGATGCCGATCCAGTGAAAGCTTTGAAGATTGTTCGTGATGCTAAATGTGATTACCCTGCGGCTTGTAATGCAATGGAGACGCTGCTGATTCATGAGGAGCACATATTGGGTTCTCTATTCACAGATATTTGTAATATGCTTAAGAAAGAAGGTGTAAAGATTCACGCTGGTCCCAAGTTGTCTAGTCAGCTCACGTTTGGACCTCCTCCTGCTAAGACTATGCGTCATGAGTACGGAGCTCTCGAGTGCTGCATTGAAGTAGTTAAAGATATGGATGATGCAATAGATCACATACATAAGTTTGGAAGCTCACACACAGATGTCATCGTTACGGAGAATGGTATGTTTTAATTCTAATATTATGTGTGTGTTTAAGCTTTTGCTTAAAACCATATAAGTCAGGTTTTTACAAAAAGAGTTAACATAAAGAAGGAAAGAAAGAGTGGCAAACAAGCATAAGACCCGCCTGATGGTAAGCGGCCACCATAGTATACAGAAAAAATATCACTTGCCCGTTTGTGCTTAAACTTTTGTAAGCAAGAAATATTTACGATTATATCGCTTCCCACAGTGAATAAAATACACTTTAAAATAAATTTCAAGTCTTGAAATGCACAATAATTAAAAAATACAAAAAAAAAACATTCGAAATGTTAAGAAAAAAAAAACTATTAAATACGCTTCATAGGTAATCGTTTCTAAGTGTTTTATGAGATACATAAACTGCTGCACAAACAGAGAAGTCGTAAAGATAGCAGTTAAAATAATTCAAGGAGAACTCGCGTAGAGATTTGTTTTCTTTAATGATTACTATTTGTATGATGTTGATATGTTTTGAATTATATTAAGGTTTAACTCGACCTTTGTATTGTTCGTACTTCTCACAATTATCAGGAACAAGTAAAATTCAACCAACCTAAGCGACGGAAATATTAAAAAAAATAGTTTTCTCATATTTTACACGACGGCCCAAGAAAAAAATAATGTTAAGTATTTAGGGTTCATATATGTATGTACAATTCTTTATGCTTGACGACCTTCGTGGCCGAGTGGTTTGTACGCCGGGTTTCATGGTGTCGCCGACTCGAGAGGTCCTGGGTTCAAATCCCGGTGGGGGCAGATGTTTGTGTGATGAATACGAGCATTTGTACTCCAGTCATGGATGTTTAATATGTATTTTCTTTATACATATACTTATATGTGTACAGTATATGTATTCTATCCGTTACTCTAGTATCCCATAACGCAAGCCTTATAGTGCTTACTTTGGGGCTAGGCTAATTGGTGTGACTGTTGGAAATATTTATATTTATATTCTACTATAACTTCTAAACGCCTGAAATGATTTAGATGTGTGTGGTGTCGTTAGAATCGATTCACCATCCCGGGTAACAATTGATACCTAAGCTGTTAAAATTGAAATAACAACAATGTCAAAATGTCCATAATATGTCATAAAAAAAGACTTCTAATTATTACAATATAGGTACCATTTGAAATGTCTTAATGGACCGTATCAAATTTAAACAAATACTAGCTATCCCAGCGAACTTCGTACCGCCATAAAAATAGGGATTGGTGGTAGAAGAATGAAAATTTAGGATTGTATGTATTTTTGTATGATAGTAGATTTTTTTTGGAGGGTAGACGTGTTTTTTTAAATTTTTAATTCAAGATTTCTTTCGCGCTAATGAGGCCATGCCATACAAATTGTTTAAAATATTTGCGATGTGCTGTTATATTGTGTCGCTGCCAGCACTTCCAGCGAGACAAAGGCGCGGGACAAAAGAACGACTTGAAGTATGATGCAGTTGTTTTTGTGTCGTCAGTCGGTTTCTTCATAGTTTCCTACTAACGTTTATCTTCAAGAGTTGTGCAGCAAGCAGAAAATTAATGTTTAAATACAACCATTGAAATATAAAATTTTAAGTGTCTCTTTGTTGCTTCTGTGAAATGGTTTGTTAATTTAATATTTTACACAACAGAAAGTGCGGTTCCGATTTTAGTACAGCTAGTAACAGAGATATCATTATTGATTTTGGGATTTAGCGCGAAAGAATAACATGAGGGGGGAAACCTTATACTTTGTGATTTACTCTCACCATAACTGTACTCTTAATAAGGGCATAAAACACCAAAGGCATAAAAAGACATTACAATCAGATATGACTTGCAGTCGTGTCCAAATCGGCAGTTTTTTGAATAAAAGGTACTGCTACCCCTACTCTTCTCAATATCTGACGTGTTCATTTTTTTTCCTTTTTACTACCCTTTCGCACAGCCACCGCCATACCATGAAAACCTGCAGATTTTCCGTTATAAGAAACATTGCGTGCATTGCAAACCAGCAGATTAATATTTTTCCGTAAGCAGACATGTTACGTACGAATCTTAGAAGCTCCTATTCAAAAGATTGACGATTTGGACGTGACCAAAAGTCATGACCGTGGTTTCTTAAAATTTTGTTTTTTTTTTGCCTTAAACTTTGAGCACTATATAAAGAGCTCAGTTATGGTGGGAGTACTTCACAAGGTGCAAGGTTGCTCCCCTTATGTTGCAGTCTTTGTTAAGTTTGCCACTACTTATTATATTATTATAATGCCACTACTTACTACGTGGAGCCGGAATATAATACATAATACATAACACATAAATAACACCTACGTTTTAAACAGAGAGCACAGCGAAGAAATTCCTAACCTCCGTGGACAGCGCCTGTGTCTTCCACAACGTGTCGTCCCGTTTCGCTGATGGCTTCAGATTCGGCTTGGGAGCAGAAGTTGGTATTTCCACCGCCAGGATTCATGCACGAGGTAAGTATTAAAATTTGTTAAAAAAAATGACGTTACTGTAGTTGATAAGCGATTTAGAATTAGTAAGGAAATAACTTAAATATTATATATTGAAATCTTTAAATTCCGTATGGATACGGACAAATCCGTATACATGGCAGCACTGGTGAAGTTGGGTGAAGTGCATAGATTACAGCACAGACTATTAGGTGCTAAAATTTTATTTATTTATTTATACGAAGATAATACATTAAAATAACACAAACTTATAATTGAAGTCTTAATAATTTATTTTCGTCTGATTTGCCGTCGGCGTCATTTTTTGTAGCTATGTTTTACAGCAAAAGCTTTTTGTTCCTGTTAATGGTTATTTATATATTTTTATGTCAAGAATGATTATATAGGTATTAATTTTCCATGAAAATTCTACAAATCTCAATACAGAGGATGTTGGTGTTTCGACATCCAGGCCGGACGTCTTCCTGCTTTTTTGGCACATCAAACATAATTATAGTACTTATAGAGCCTACTGCACCGTGAGAAACTACTAGTATCATTCTAAAAGACCACACAATAAAATTGAATGAATATTACGATCCAACCAAAAATGGCTATCTAGATAATTTTTTATGCTCTATAACTTTCTAAAAGACCTCGGCCTGTCGAGAACTGCAGTAAGTTAAATTTTGGAACGAGTAACTAAGGGTGCTACCTTAGTAACAGGCTCCTATCAAATTTGGCTTGGAACGAACTCGGGCAGTGTAGGTAAGCGTTGATGCGCATCTAAAAGGGGCCCTCCTTAAACTTACACCTGGGTCCCGGGAACTGCTCAGTGTTTCTCTCTCTGCCACACGATGGACCCGGTACCCGCACGTTGAATCCATGGATTGCTAAGAAATTAGTCTCTATTATTTATTCGAAAAAATATTAATTTGTTTCTTAAAAACAGTGATGTTCACACACTTGACTTTGTTCAATACAAGAAACAAAAATAAACTAACTTTACCTGCTACTAGGCTTCACAAAATTAATAATTCATTTAAAGGTCTTTGTGTTCGCTTATACAATAAAGTCCCAAGCAATATCCAAGAGTTAACCATAAATAAATTTAAAGATAGTATAAAAAAAGCTTATTACAAAGTGTCTGATTATATTACAGACAAAAATGCTTGGGTTTGAACTGTTCCAATCATTCCAACAGGTTTTCTATATTAAATAAATCATAATTGTATTGACGTTATAACAACATAATGATTTGTAAATGATTTGTTGTTACATTAGACTTTTCATGTTTTGGAGTTCTTTTCGCTCGTTTTTCTCCGCAGCTAAAAAATATGTCCATAACGAGTGGTAGGGAAAAACAATTTGAAAGATTCAAAAGAGTTGTACTGTACATCCAATTTGAATAAAGATATATTGATTTCTGATTTCTGTCTCTCTATTCAGTAATCTTTGAGATCATTACGGACATACAGATAGACTGAAAAACTTAGCGGGGTTACGTCTTGTTATAATTATGTAGCTTAATTTCGAACTTGCTCTATTCGACATAGTTCATAGTCATAGTTACACAGTCACCTACTATTTTAATGAATAGTCCCATATTTGAAATGAAATATTGAAATATGTTGTTAAGGCATGCTAGTTGTTTATAATACAAACGTTTGTAAATGCGATATCTGTTTCTTTATACACTTAGTAGCTACATTAATTAGTCTCGTCTGGAAAGTTCTCATTTGAGCTAAAGGAGATTTGATTAAATTAATTTGTAATGTTGGAGATAAAGCTTAAGAATGTCATATGAAATTTCATTTGCATATGCAATCAAAGGTGTATTACTGTGTAATCAAATGTCAAGAGCTCTTGCACTATTCGAAATAAGAGCCAACGCAAGAGAGAACTCGGTAAAGCCATAACTAAGATACGAGTACCTACGCTAGAACAGACTTATAGGGCCAAGCTAGATAATAAACAATACGATATAACTATATATCATTAAGCGCAATCTACTGACTATACCACGGCGAGTGTTCTGAGGAGTTATTGTACCGTATCCCTCCATCACCTTTTCTTCAGGGGACCACGCGCGTTGGCCTACGTTGCAACCGACTTACTGTGGCCACTATTTCTACACGAACAAAGAAATTTGGTGACTCATTTCTTTGTCGTACTATTTGTAAGTGGAATTCTTAGCCCGCGCACGTGTTCCCTCCTTCCTATAATCTGAGGTCCTTTAAGAGAGGCGTGAAGAAGCACGTTTGCAGGCCGGCAAGGTGAGGATGGTTGGTGTAGCAGTTTATAACTGCTGTACCAGCTAACTTCGCGTTTGGACTTTATCACCACTTAACATCAGGTGGGGTAGAGTGATTTGCCTACCTCGCAATAACAAAAAAAATACTAGAAGTCGCAGTTCAGGCAACATCCTTAATATGCTACGTCTGTACACCATGGTTAGTTACGGATAGGCTAATTGCTGTGCTTTATAAAAAGGGTTATAGTCTTCGTCAACCGTCGTGCTCTCCATCCACTAGGTTGTTATTTTAAACTTCATTGACCAAAATACAAGAGAATGGTACAAAAGGCGGACTTAATGCTAATAGCATTATCTCCCGGACAACATTTGGGAAAAAAGAAAAAACGCGAACGGCTGTTCTGTTGCAGTAAATTTTATGTTAATTTCATACTCATGTGCAGCGGCTTTTAGACTATACAAGATAAAAAAATATCTACTCATTCATTTCATTATGATATTTTCTAATACAAATATTGTATGTTGAGCGAAGAGATGGCTGGTTCATGCGTCATGCTCGTGAACGGGTGCTGCCAGCGGGGATGAGTCTGCTGTATACTGCGTTACTATTAAGACTTTATCTATTATACCTAATATTTAATGATTAATACCTAAAATAACACTGTTTATATTTACACTATATGACATAGCATTCAAAAATTGAATAGATTTTGGGTAGGCTAGCGACATGATTTTTTCGTAAATGTTGCTACTTCTGTTAAATGTTGATGAGTTTCTTGCATCCATTCTTATAATCAGCTAAAATATTTCCTGAATGGGTGGCAGGAAAAAATATTGGACGATTCAAAATAGCTTTCAATAAGTCAATTTGAATAAAGTATAATTTCATTTCATTTCATTCTCTAAACTCTTGTTTGTTTAGGTACCGTAGATAATGGTCAAAATTTCTATTCGATATACCTTAGAACTCAGAAAATAAATTAGCCTGGCCCCAAAATAAGCACTGTCAGGCTTGTGTTATGGGTTACTAGGGTAAGGGATAGAATACATATACAGTACGTATATAAGTATATTTATATAGAAAATACATATTAAACATCCATGACTGGAGTACAAATACTCGTATTGATTATACCAACATCTGCCCCCCACCGGGAATCGAACCCGGTACCTCTCGAGTTGGCGACACCTTGAAATCCGGCGTACAAACCAATCGGCCACGGAAGTCGTCAATGCCACTTGTCTACTTCCCTAGGTGGCGCAATGGGTGCTTCAGTTAAAATATATTAAATTTTTCCCAACGCAGTTTTTTCAACGAAGTTATTTTTCCAGGGCCCGTCGGAGTGGAGGGACTTCTCACCACCAAGTGGATTCTGGAAGGCACAGATCACACAGCGGCTGAATTCAATGAATGCAAGAGGACTTGGCTTCATGAGAAGCTTCCCATCAATTGACTAAGCAATACTCCTTACATCACTTTATTATGGAACAAATTCAAAGTGCACATAAATAAAATAAAATTAAGAACAAACAAAAGTGTCTAGCATTTAGGCACATCATTCTGAAATACGTAATTGTGTAATCAATTTTGTATGAACGAATCTTATGAAGTAATTAACAATTGTGTCATGGACTAAATTAAGTAAATTTTGATGTCGATTCTGGTATGATTCTCTAAACTTAGTCTCTCCTTTTCATTATGTATGATTTTCATTATTAGTGAATGACAAGGATACACTGTTGTCAAATTCAGTTGAAGGTTTAGAGAATCATGTCAGAATCGATACCAGTTTACTATTTCAAAATTGTACAAAATATGTAATTTTCATCTTACACTTACGTAAAAATATATGTTAGAAGCAGTAGGAGCTCTACTAATTAAAATAACAGTTTGAGTTTTAAATCGACATTGTACAGTAATATTTTCATTTACTAGCTTCAAACACTAAAATCTACATTATATAACTGTATTTTATAATAACATACATAATATTTAAAAACATTTTTGTATTATCTTCAAAATATAAATGTCTTTCTGTAGGAGTACAGGCGACAAAGTTAACGATTTGACAACTTCCGTGGCCGAGTGGTTTGTACGTCGGGTTTCATGGTGTCGCCGACTCGAGAGCTCCCGGGTTCGAATCCCGGTGGGGGCAGATGTTTGTGTGATGAATACGAGCATTTGTACTCCAGTCATGGATGTTTAATATGTATTTCTATATAAATATACTAATATATGCACAGTATATGTATTCTATCCGTTACCCTAGTATCCCATAACACAAGCCTTACAGTACTTACTGTGGGACTAGGCTAATTGGTGTGAGTGTTGTAAATATTTATTTATTATGAATATTTATATTTATTTGTCAAATTGATACTGTAGTCATTTCAGTTTCATTATTCTTTAATAAATGATACAATAAAGACTAACATGTAAGTACGAGTATTAATGTGCCAACTTTAGTGAAAAGGTTTGAAGTAATTTAGGAGATATGTAATCGAATAGGCGTATTGCATACCAACCTATCTAGCATGACCACCGAAACGGGATATGATAAAGCGATATACCGGCATTAACTGTCAGACTACAATGGAGTTTGACAGTAGTCTGACAGTTAATGCCGATATATCGCTTTATCGTTTCCCGTTTCGGTGGTCATGCAATAGGGGCAGATGTAGGTATAACCTATAGTATGCAATATGTTTATTCGATATGATTACTGCTTTAATGCGTCTCCCACACCTGCGCGACGAAGCTTTGGTACTAAAATGCGCTAAAATTTGAATTAGTTCCATTGTACGTACGCTCCTTCAGCTGAAAAAGTCAAAAGGCATCAGTCAATCTATCGTCTACCGTAGACTATACGTACGTACGTACCGTAGACTCGCAGCCCGATAATTCATTTCGATTCAAATTTAACGCTAATTTTAGCGCATTTAGTAGCAAAGCGACCCAAAGCGTCGTCCCGCAGGTGTTGGAGAAGCATAAGTGATAAGGTTGGAAGCTCTTTGTAGTGTAGCCCCAGCCCATAAGTGTTTGACGAGACGGCCAACTTCTTCGACTGTACGCAGAGATTGTCATAAAACTGAGACGCAGTTGCCGAAATCTAAACGATACGAAATAAAGATTAATTTTATACATAAAACAGTGATATTTTATTCTCTCACCAATTAAAATTCAAAACGTGACATTCTAACTTCTTGTTAGATACCTAAATTATAGGAAAAGTTTTAATTTGTTTTTCTTGGTGTTTGAATATCAATCTTCCCGTGTTGTTTACTTATATTTTTGGCGAAGTTCTTGTTTAGTTTATTAGTTGTTTACCAAGAACTCATGAGAAGAGGAAAAAGGAGATAGATAGAGCGGCAGTGACCACTTCATCAGGTAGACTGTCACGTTTGCCTGCATTAACAAAGAAAAGGAAATATTTTATTTATTTATTTTTAGGGTTCCGTACCTCAAAAGGAAAAAAACGGAACCCTTATAGCACTTGTAGTCCGTCCGTCCGTCTGTCAAGACCGTTTTTCTCAGGAACGCGTGGAGGTATCAAACTGAAATTCATATCAAATACTCATTTCTACTGTCCCTTGGAGCTGTGAAAAAATCAAACTTCTAAAGCAATCAAAAGATACAGCCGTTTATGCCGCAAATTTTCGAAAATCGCACGGAAATCAAAACCTTCAGGGTACTTTCCCGTGAACTTACAATCTTGAAATTTGGTACGAATTAACGAAACAAAGAAAAGGTGTTTCAATTTGAAGACGGCGTATGTAAGCAACTATCGATTATCTCTTCGTACTTTTTCGTTACATCGAATTTTCAGAGAATTTTCTCCGGAAGCCATCGAGAATCTCAGGAACTACGGAAGGCAATAGTTTCCATATATAGCAATATATTAAGAAGATCTAATAAGAATTTATTGAATTTTATCTGCTACCACCACCACCTTGTTACGTACATGAAGACGTTTAACAAAAGCGAAAAGTCACAATAAAGACAGACACTATACAAGTCTTTCTCTTCTTCTGGAAAACAATTTGTCACAATAGTGCCGGTGTTCTTCAAAGGGAAGCGTTAGGTACTCGTCCCATACGCCATTTTGCTAGTATCTTGAATAGAAGACAGATGCACAGTTGCACCGCTTTGTTTTCACACCGGGCGCGCCGCAGGGAATATACCGAGATGTTATGAGTATTCAGAGTTTGTAGTTCGACAATAGAATATGAATATTGGAGGAAATCACGTAGTAAATGTTTCACACTTAGGAATTGCAAGAAAAATAATAAATACAGATCGTTCAGATCTGCTTCTCATAGTGGGAACGATGCAACGTTTTGCCAGAAATTGTAAGTGGCCGATGTAGGATTTTTGGACGTTGATATCGAAATAACCGTTTGAGGTGTGTTTATAAAACTTGGAGCACATTAGGTATGTCGCAAGTCTCAATATATGAGCCATGTTTGACATGTTTATGTGAAATAGTTTTTGAGTTATGAGGGGATCAAAAGTGGCTCCAAATGGTTTAAATTTTCTATACTAAGTTTTAAGAGGAAATGTTATTTTAAGTTGCTATAAAATATTTTATGTTGTTATAAATGAATTTCAGGACTGAAAATTGAACTTGGCTGTCATTTCACATTTATGTTTTTCAATGGGATATTATAGTCTCTGGTCGAGCGCCATAAGGATGGTTTTAGTTTAATTGGTAAAATTATGTTTCTATTCTCTTATGTGTGGTGATATACCAGGAAAACTTCTCGCGCCCACTTACTTGTGGGATTGATGACGCCGAGACTGAGCGCACTGGCTGGTTACCGGAACAAACATTGTTTATGGTGCCTTTCGTGTAAAAAAGTGACTTACTCTCTTCCTTCAAAAACTGTCAATATGACTTTTCCCTCGGACACTATAAGATTATTAAAATATTCGTGAGAATGTTTAAAATTTGTGACATGCGCCTTCTGGGATGACAGCAAAGCAGGGTCCAGCCGCCTCAAGTTACGCTCGTCGGAGAACACGCAACCCATCGTCCTGGAGGTAAGTGGGCGCTTCTTTTGACGTGACAACGTCTTAAATTAGGTTGCGGCTGGGAGTCACTTATGAAAAAGTGTAACGCTCGGTAACGTTACGATGAGTCTCTCGTGTTAAGTTTAAGTTTACATGTACAATGTTTTAGTAAACAAAATATATTTCTATAGTTAAAATTTGTGCAATTCTTATTTTCATTCAATTCCTTGTTCCTATTGTGCAATTTAATTATATTCATATCAATAAATATTCTACCGAGAAAAAGACGTTGTCACGTAAAATCTTCGCCCGTAAAACCGACTTTACAGGCAACCATTTTTTTTTTCCTGGTATTGAACCACATATTTTATCATTTCGGTGTAATCTACCCCAGGTGTGGGCTATTTACACGCGCCACACCATTCTCAGTATGGTTATGTACAATAGGAAATTTGTTGTAACTATTGCATTGCGCTGTTAGCTTATAAAAAAATGCAATACTTTTTTCAGCCTATTGATGCCCCCACTGCAGGCGCACAGATCTTCCCTATGGACGAAATAGGGAGATTGGGCTACGACCCACCACGCGGGCGCAGTGCGGATTGGTGGGTGCTAATGAATGCCGATGCAGCCTACCAACGGCTAAAAGTGCCTTCCGAAACATGGAGGAGCTCGAGATAGTAATTTTTTTGGTCACCCATCCAAGGTCCGACCTCTGCGAAAGTTGCTTAACTTCCGCAGCCAAACGCGCTAACCACTTGCGTAATCGAGCTACTCAACACTATTGGTCGTATCTTTTACTTTAAATTAGAAGTGTGATGTAATGAGTTTCACAGCTTTAAGGGACCGTTGACTAGAGTATATGGCTTAAATTATAACTCGATACCTATACGCTTTTCCGAGATAAAGGGTCTTGGTAATCAGACAGACGGTTGGACAACAAAGTGATCTTATAAGGGTTCCGTTATTTCCTTTTAAGGAACCGAACCTTATAAAGATACACCATCCGTCGTCAGAAATCTGCTTTTTTGGTAAAAAAATGGGTGCGTGTACTTATGTAGGCGCGTGAGAAGTTATCCTTCTTTGGCATCGTTTAAAATTAGTTTATAATTGCATGCAAATAATTAATTACAATAAAGTAATAAAAAGTCTGGAAAAGGACACAGTCAATAAAGTTCAGTTATAATTTGAAAAAATAAATAAATAATAAAATATTCAATTAAAATCGCTACTGAATATAATTTATTAGAACATATGTGATTTGCACTTGTATGAAACTCAAACACGTATTCCGAATATACAAACTAGAAACATGTGGATAAATATTATAAATATGAATACCTACTTTATTACAAAAAATAAAGATGTGGTTTTTGGTTCTACTACACCAATGGTCAAGAGATGGCGCTGTAGTTTCCTGAATCGCGCTTTGGTTCTGTTGTTCCAGATTAATAAATACTTTTGATATATATAAATATGAATACCTATAACTGTTACTTTATTACAAAAAATAAAGATGTGGTTGTTGGTTCTACTACACCAATGGTCAAGAGATGGCGCTGTAGTCTCCTGAATCGCGCTTTGGTTCCGTTGTTCCAGATTAATAAATACTTTTGATAGGCCTTCACAATGCAGTCGTTAGCACCCACTAAATAGAGATTCTATTTTTATTTTGTTTTTAGATTTTCTTAATGTGCGGTAAACACAAAAGTAACGCATGAAGTTGGTCGCTAAAGCGACCAACTTCATGCTGTTAAGATTTTGTGTTACAGTGATGCGCGCGCATCTTAAAATTTCACTCTCATCATTTTTTCATAACGCGCCTAAAGAAGTATAACTTCAAAAAAAGATCAATAAAATGACTCCCAACCACCTGACGTAAAGTGAAGATGGAGTTGGACGTAAAGACAGCTGATGCAGAAGTTTTACTTTCCAGTTTCAGTTTAGTACAACAGTTCATCCTGGTCAATTATCTGAATTCAGAATACCTGTATGAAAGCAAGCTTAAACATTACAAAGAGAGATAGACACAGCGGATTTTCTGCTCGAATTGGAGCGTCGGACTGGGGAAGCAATCTCCACTTTACAGAAGACTACAGTAAAATAACACTAACTTTTGTTGGTGTTTCTGCTAGTGAGCAGGGTTCTAGGGCTCCTCGGGGTTGGGGATTAGTTTCAGGGCGGCAAGGTGAGGATGGCTGGTGCGGCATACTTTCTGCCGCATCATGTATCTTCGCGAATCGACTCCACCTACACTTAACATCAGGTTGGGGAATGCGCGGGTGGGGTGGGGAACCTTAGTAAAAATAAGATTGTCTTTTTTACTTCGCATCTATAAGAAATTTGGTGCAGGTGGACCTAATGTTATTTTGTTGCATTCTGTGTTTCAAGAACGGAATATACAAAATATTTTGCTAGCTCTTGTAGAATGCATAGACAAACGTACCAAGTTTTTGCATTCAATAATATAAAGTCTAGAAAATATTTCAGGACAGACGATGAAGGCCGGATATGCAAAGCTTTGGTTAGAACACAAGTGTCATTGTTTCAAAATCTTTGAACGAATTCCAACTGAAGATTCCAAGCTCGCTTCAGAAAACTATGTTGTGAATTCAAATAGAATTTTATTCTTAAAAGAATTTTATAAAATTCTTGCTCCTGTTTCCGATGTATGGAATACTGTTAAATTTAAACAGTATTATTATTCATATTCATTTATACAGTATATTACTCATACTTGTTTGAATTTTCAGAATCTACTTTTGTAAAATGTTGAAATTCCTTGTCTAAGATAGAAATAACCTAGATTATAAAAATATCGGTATTAAAATTTATTACTATTTTCATCCTCAAAATACTGTGTAGATTTTAAAGCTTTGTAGAAGACAAACTTTTGAAACTCTGAAACATAGATAAATGATTGGTCTCGATAGTGAAGCGAGACAAATCATTCATCTATGTTCTGAAATAAAAATATGAGAAGTCGATTAAAGTAAATCACACTAATATTATAAAAGCGAAAGTTGTATGTGAGTGTGTATGTTTGTTACTTCTTCACGTCTAAACGGATGAAGCGATTTTAATAAAATTTGGTATGGAGTTAGCTGACAACCTGGAATAACACATAGACTATGTGTTACTGCGGGAAAGTTTTACCTAAAAAACCGCTGGTAACACCGCGGGGTACAGGTAATATAAACTATCAAATGATTAATTTCTTGGCACTA